AATAAACACAGGTCAAGCACTCGGTCGTTGGGGGCACGGCTCCGAGGGGTGTAAGACTCCGTCATTGGAGCAACGCTCTCGAAATACCAACGAGCCAAGCGCTCGGTCGTTAGGGATGTGGCCCCGAAGTGTCCTAAAACCCAACAGCGAGTTTGGTGTGGCTGTTTCCTAGAAATACGATCAACGTAGAAAAGCATATTGATTGAAAATCGGAATTCATTATAAAAAAGGGTTTTGCATCCCCAGGCATACAAACAAACAAAACTCAGTACGAAGCTACAAAGCTGCAAAAATGTGGGACCAACTGCTGAGACCCTCGGCTCATTCATTCATCCCCGACTCCTTCCCCATCTCCAGCCCCCGATATCTCATCCAGCTCAGTGTCATGCACTCCACTTAGGATGGGGGGCAGAGAGGACAGATCATATGTTGGCTCAGCCGATGGCAACGACGGAAGGGCAGGAGAAGGCTAATCAAATCTGTCGCTGAGTGTGATGGGTTCACCGCCGCCTTCAGCACCGACCGGCCCTTCAGCCTCGGCAGGGGCACTGAGGTTGGGCGGACTTGTTCATCCAAGGCCTTGTCATCGGCCTTACTTCGAAAACTGTGCCTGACAAACAACTCCGAGCCAACCTCGACATGGCAGGCGTGAAGGGCGACATCCCAACCCTTTTTGAAAGCCTTCTTCTTGGCTTCCTCAAAAGCGGGAATCATTTGGTCTTGAGTGGCCGACCACACCCTCAGACACTCCGATTGCAGCCTCTCCTGCTCCCCCACTTTTTTTGCTGTCAAGGAGTCCACTTTGGTAGTAAGAGCGCTGATTACAGACTCGGACTCTTGTAGCTAGGCTCGGAGGAGGACACTCGTAGCACATACTCCTCGGCCATTTTCATCGTTGCAGCTTCGTCCGCCTTGGCCTCATTCAGCTCGGTATGAATGGTGTCTCGCTGGCGAATGAGCTCGGCAATGTGTTTGGTATGATCTTCGAGGGTCCTCTCAACCTTCAAAATGTGGTCGTCCTTGGTAGCCGCGGCCGCGGCTCGCTCGGCGTTCTTCGCCTCTTGCTTTTATTCCCAAAAGCGTTCAATGATGGCTCCCACCTGCTGGCTAGCCTGGAAGAGGAGGAATATTAGTAAATGACCAAAGGGGAATAGCTACTCAGGGAGGCGATGAACTTACCACCAAGTTGTTTTGGATGGTGCTCATCAGGAGCCGATTGTCCGAGTAACCTTTGTACACGGCCATGTCAGCCTCGAACTAAAGCGTCCCCGCGACGACAAAGGCCACTTCAGGAGATTGGAGAATTGAGTCGGCTTCCAAAACAGGCCGGCCGCTTCTAGTCTCAGCCCGACCAACCCACTCGCCCAAGACAAAGGGCCCCGGCGCCGCGACATCATGTTGTTGCTTTACACGGCGCTCTTCATGTTGTTCGGCGTCCCGGGCACGCCTGTCCCTCGACCGGTCTGCTGGAGTTTGGACTTGTTGAGATTAGGCCCTCTGCCTCATCGGCACAGCTAAATCCCTGGGTGTCGCACGCGGCGACGACGGATGCTTCTGAGGAGGACGAGATTAAGGGATGATGGGGGTAGGATTGGGAGGCCCGGCCAAACCTGCGAGTCTGGCTCTCCTTGCCGAGGCGACGGCCTCCATGGTTGCTGCAGTGATAGGTGGTGGATTAAACATGTCGGGTGTAGGAGACTCGGTAGCGTTATGCGAAGACTCTTATTCTGAACCACCCTCGAATTATTCTTCTTCCGGCGAGGAGTGATCTTCCCAAACGGAAGGATTGAAAGGAGGAGGGATCTGGAGAACCGGCTGTAGGTTGGCGTATAGCCGAGGAGGGTATGCGCCGCCCGTTCAACCAGGTCTGAGGACCAGACCTTTAGCAGATCAGAGAACCAGACTTGAGACCTCAGCGGTTGAGCAGCGTCCCAGCGATATCCTTCTGCGAAAACAGAGCAAAAATCAGTATGTCCCTCAGACCTAAAAAGATGTAAATTGGCAAGGCAGAACGAAAATACACCTTCATCCCTCGGCACTTTGGGGCAGTACAATCCGTCATACTCGGGCCTAGTCCCTTTCTCTCAACTACCGCCGAGCATGATCAGATCGTCCATGTACCCCTTGTCCGAGTCAGGCATGTGGGTTACCAGATACATCGAGGGATCTCAGGCTTGGAGGTAATATCGTCCCCCGGCAACTAGCCTTAGGTCATAGCAGAACAAAATTTTGTCTACCCCCAAGTTAGTCCCAAGCCAAGTGTTTAAGGCGACTATGCCCATCACAATCCTAAAAAAGTTAACCTCGCATTGAAGGGGAAAAAGCTTCAATTGCATCAGGACTCCCAGCAACAGGAGATGGAGGGGGAAGGTCAACCCTCCTTCCATGATGGCCTTCATCCAGAAAGGCATCATGTCCTCACTTCCCACGTCCCTCCTATGACGAGTAAGGTTGAATGGGAAAGTGAAGACATGCTCGCGAATATGGTACCTGACCCTAAAGGTGTGGATGTTCTCGTCTGTTACTTGGGTTCTCCTTATTTTGTGGGTAGTACTGGCCCTAACAGACGTTTCCCCCCTAGTTCTACTAGTTCTGGCCATCGGTGGGAGCTAAGAGGGCGAAATGTAGAAGAAACGAAGAGAGAAAAAGTTCAAGTGGAAGTACTTACAAGAGGTTGGTCTTCGGAGAGAGCTCGGAGGACCAGGGAAACTCGGAGGACAGGAGAGCACTCGGGGTCTGATTGCTGAAGAGAGATGGAGGATGCAAAAGTTCTAAGAAAGCAGAAAAACCCCCTATTGATAGTGCCTCACAGGGAGCGAGAATCAAGGAGTTGGCTCATCATTAGGGCATTTGAAAAGGGCAGCACCAAACGTGCAAGTAACCGTCGTCATTAATGAGACATGGTGATAGAGTCTCAATCCCTTTACTCCACTTGTCGAGCACCACGTAAGGGATTGTGGCTGGGGGCAGTTGGCGGGACTCCTGTATGGATCCTCAACCCCCAGGGTGACACGTGGCCCAATAAAGTCATTAGGATGTCTGAAAGATGTCGAGGGGATGAGTCGAGGCATGGCGACACAGAGCGGCCGAGTACAACAGCTGGCGTCATAATCAAAACGATATGACCTCGCATTTATGGCGAAATGAGTGATAGTGACAGGACAAATAAATGCGAGGCTTCCTCCAACTGCTCTCTGCAAGTCGATGCCTACTGTCATGATGGCTGGAGCATTAATGACTGATGCGCCGAAACAACGCGATTGGTTCTCGAGTTCCCTGATCTGCTGAGTATTCTGTGCTCTGTTGGTGTCAGACGCCAACCTCTTGGATTGGGCTGCTCGGCTCGTAGTATAAATGCTCGGCTTGTGGCCGACCATTTACACCATTCCCCTAGCATTCAATTAGAGGAGGTGTAAAGGGAAAGCATTCACAGCACGAGGGATGGTGTGTCAGGTGTGAGATGTCCAAATGAGACTGAAGATCTAGAACAATCATTGTTAATTCAGGTATAAATATCCCTCAGAAAAATGGACAAAGGTACGCAAAATCAAACCAGAGCACATCTACTAAGAAATAGCCCTTCGATCTTACTGACTTAAGCTTCGGAGGGGATCCGCCGGGCTCACGCCTGGCCCCCTTTCTTCTAACCCCGTCTTTTCAGGTTCACCAATCAAGGGATCGCTACCTTACAAGATTGCATGAATTATCCCATGCAATATATATATACATAGATCTAAGGAAAAACACTGACCAGGAGCGAGAGAGACAAAGTGGGTTTCGTCTTCGGCTTCGATTTCATCTTCCATTTTTGAGCGTTTTCGATTTGATCTTCGGTTTCAGAAGAGACACCATCGAGAGAGAGACAGACAAATGAGAGAAAGGGGGAAAAAAAAGGAAAAGGACTTTTATATACTGCCAACAAAAAGTCTTCAATTTTGGTGTTAACAAGATTCGAAGGCCATACTTCATTTAACAGAGGCGCGCGTCTTTTTTTTTTTTTTGATGTTTTCAAAAACATCATTTCTTATGTTTTCATATTTTGACATTGTTTTCAAAACAACAACGTAAAAAAAAACAAAACACATCCCAAACATGTTATTATTAGTTTTTGTTAGCAAAAAAAAAAACAAAAAACAAAAAAAAAACACACCCCGTCGCCAAACACTGCCTAAATGTATTGAGATCCCATTTTTTCTCCAATTACGTGTTTGATAGATCATAGCTATCAATCATTCAAGTGCATCGCTCACTTGTTAATGATGGATGATTCATTAAGAATGAAAATTGAAGAAAAAAATATTGGAGGGAAGTAATCCAAATTAAATTCTCACATTATGTCCTCAATTAAATCCTCATGGACAGAGACATTGAGAGTAGAACTGATAATTGAGTCAAGTTGCTCAAACTCGACTCAAAGAGAGATCAATTTGAACTCGACTTGTGTTTTAATGAAGCTGAGTGTAAATAATTTTTTAAGATTATTTAGAAAACTAACTTAAAATGATATGTTCTAAGTCACAATATTCGACTCATTTATATATAAAATAGTCGAACTACTTAAACTTAGCTCGAGTTTGACTATTTTTGGGCTAGACTTATGCTTAAACGAATCAAACTTAAATAACTTTTTAGACTTATATAAAAAACAAACTCGACAAAATCGACTTGATTATCAACCAGTTGGATCAGCCATTGACTATTCGGCCTAGTTAGCCCGGCCCGATGTTGAAAAAACTTTACGCTGGAGGGTCTTTCACACCCTTTTTTCCTTTTTGGGTAAAACATACACAACATCATACACCCAAATTCCCAACTTACACGACAAAAGGCAGCTAAATAGAGACTAGTTGGATACCTTTTGGGCATCAATCAAAGAAAAGAAAGAGGAGTCGTCTAGAAAATGCAAATAATTTCGTTACTCGCTTATGAGTAGAGGATTGGCCACATTTGATTCAAGAACTAAAGCAATCAATATCATCAAATAGAAAAATGGTTGCCCACTCAACGCACATTAGTAAAAAAACAGCTAACTGAGAATCCGCTTTTCCTAAACCACCTATCAGTTTTCCTCTCTTTGCCTCTAAATGTGAACACATTTGACTGATGAAATCTAAAGAATATTACACATTATACTCGCATCAAATCAATTGATTAAGCAGAACTTTAATCTATATCAAAATCATTACAAAAACAAAGACATCTCAGGGGTTGGGATGAAGGAGAAAATGCTTTCACCAAACAGTTCAAACAATGAAACAAGAAGATTCCCAGAATTCAGGTCATCTTTCCAAACCTGGTTGAGAACAACTGACGTCATCCTTAAAGCTTGATTATCACCCTTATCTCCTCTTCCTCTACTAACCAAAACACTCGCATTAGGTATCTGGCTAGAAGAAGATGATGGGCCTGCATCAGAATCCCCTAAAGCAGCAGCACTTCTCGTTTCTCCTTGCATTTCAGAATGTAAGGAGTTGTTCGGAGTTAGTGGGCTATCAGTAACAACCTTCTTGAGGGGAGGCTGCTGCTCCAATTGCTCCACACTTGCCTTGCGTTTATCTTGATTGATTAGAAGTAAAAAACAGGGTCAGAAAAAAAGAAACTTCATCATTGACTTAGCAACAAATGCTTGCAAAGGTATGTAGCTCGGGGATTTAGATCGAGGTTGGCTCTGATCAGGTGTTAGTATTACCAAAAACATTATGCCACATCACAAGGTGAGGGTATTTCTAGCTTCCCAGAAAGGAAAAAAAAAAGGGCGGGAGGGGGTAAATTGCACCAGTGATCCCTAAGGTTTACCACTTATTGAACTTTTATCCCTAAAGTTCCAATGTAGACAGTTTAGTCCTCAATGTTTACACATTGGGTCAATGTGGTCACTCACCTTAAATGTCCTCCAAATAGATGACGGGAAAATGCACGAGAACGTGACAGATGGGATTTAAGTCATTTCCCTCTTTTTCCGCCCATTCAACCAACATCTGCCCCCCTAATATGTATATGATAAATGGCTGATATGAACCCTAATCTTTAACAGAATAAACAGAGGAAGACACTTGGGGGAGGCGAAAGAAGCTGGATGGAAGAGAGAAAGGACGCCAAAAGGCTGAACAAGATCCACATGGATCACACGTACTGCAACTGGGGGAGCAAACAAATTTTAACTTGTTGGATAGATTTAAATCCATGTAGAAGATTCCTTGGATGCGAGAGAAATGAGGTAAATTATATGAATTGTTTGATTATATGCAAAAATATCTGTTCATCAAACTTGTGTTGGTATATGCAGAGAAACGGCAGATGTGGCTAATTTGTCTAGTATGATCCTCCTACGTGTATGCGTTCGAAAAATATCATATCATACCTGGTTACTTTGGAGAATCACAATGATAAAAGGGCAGTTGGCCAGATCTCAACGCATAGAGAAGGTTCTGTGGATGTTGCTAATATTGACTGTGTTCATATCTTCCTCTGTTTTGCGCACTTAGAAATCAGGGTTCGTACCAGCCATATATTATACATGTATTAGGGGGGGGCATATATTGTTTGAATAGGCAGAAAAATGGGGGGGAATTACCCAAATGTCCCTCTCTCACATTCACATGCTGTGCACATGCTGCTTTCCGCAATTATCATATGGAAGCACCCCACCATACGATGATATGGACCACAATGTGTTTGCTAACCAGAAAAATTAGAGAGATAAAACATGTGACTTGCAAGCATGAAAAATAAGCTCAATGTATATTTGTGAGCCTATGTGGCAATTTGCTGGTGTTTTTGTTGACTCAGCCAATTACCAAGAATTCCCAGCCCACATGTCACGTTTAGTCGGTTTTATAAAGGGCAAAGCTTCTTGGTGATCGTTAAGCTATATAAAGTACACCTACTTGTTGGGCTTGCAGTAACGACTCTTGCATTGTTCCTCCAGGCAGCATGTGCATGAGGGGATGGTAAAAGTGGAAACATCTTGAGCCGATCATATATGCATTGACCCGCAGCATGCTGCAAAGTACATAGTTTTGTTACAACAGTTACATCCCCAACTTAAACCTCTCATCTCATAGAGTTCCACAAATATTGCTTATTAAGACATACTCACCAGCAAGGCCCCATATACACGCCAAGCTTCATGCCTTTTCATCTCATTCTTTTGCTTCTCGAGAAGCATCTCGGGTGCAAGGAGTTGAAGATATGTTTCCAGATTTGGTAGTATAAGAAGGCGAACCTGTCCCAAAGCCATGTATATGAAGTAGAAACAGGATCTAGACTCAAGAAATAAGATTATTCTGCATATATAGAGAGGATAACGGAAAGAGAAAAAAAAATATCAAGAAATAAGAATGTTCTAAGTGAAGTTATTTTTTCCATCAAGAAAAGTCAACATAGAAAGCATAAGCTCAGCAGCAAAGAGGGTATGGGTACAGAAAGCAAATTTGCATATGGAAATGTTTCTCCTGTTCATATGATGGAAGATATGGAATGGTGATCAAGACTCAGAGTTGAAGCAACCATTAGGAGATTGTAGCTGCCATGTGGGGTCATGCAGAGATAAAAGCAACGGAGCTGGAAAAAGGCATCTACCCTCACTCTTGGAGTAAACATTCCACGATAGCTCCGCTTCCTCATCTTGCTTCTAGGCAGATTACTTAAGTTTGCTCTTGGACTTGGAAGGCAAAATTGTTCTCTCTTTCCCTCACCTCTTATCTATATGTATGGGTATCTTCTTCATACACCCCTGCGATGTTGTTCCAGGCTCATCATCACACTAAGCTACCAAAAACCTGGATTGCTTTTGTGGGATTGAAGTGCCTCCAACTTTGCTGCCTTAGCAGGTGATTGTGGGCATACGAGTTTGGCTTTGTAACCACGAATGTTTCTCCATTATCCAAAAAACAAAACATTCTTTAGAAGATAATCTCCTTTCAGGAATCGCCTTTCAGGTTGAAAACTTTCTTGCCAATGCCAGCATATTCAGAAAAGGACACAATTTTTAAGCAAAAGCTTTAAAGGATCAGTGTTCTTACCAACCTTTTTTAGCACTTTCCATTATGCAAAACCCACAGAGGATATATCAAAAAACCTTCCCCTTCTCTATCCATCATTATCTCTTCTCATTTTACTAACTTGACCAAAAAATTAAATGGCTTTCCAGTAATCATTGAATAACAATCAATAAGCCTAGCAATAACAATGTGATGAAAATGGAAATAAAAGGCATGGAGGCTATGAACAATAAAATATTTAAACAACAACACAACTAATTCCAAATCAGCATTCATCAATGACAAATTTTTATTATGCCACAAGAAGCATAAAAGCAGAAAGTACCACATTAGGTCCTAGGGCCGCTAGTCCTTGGATGGCACCATAGTGTTGAGTCATTGCACGTTTTGGATCCAGAAATGCATGGAGCAAGGTTTTTGTCAAACGTGTCTGGAGATTATTATAAACATGCCCAAACCTGTCAAAGATCCAAAAATTATATATTCGAAAAGAGAAGAAAAAATTGAATGCTAGAATTTCTGAAAGGGTTCCAATGAGAAGGGCATCAGAAGAATTCCATCCTTTCTGTAAACATGTAAAAGGAAAAATTACTAGACTGACTGAGTGAAATATACATGTGTGCATGTGGGTGTCAGTATGTGCATTCCTCCCCCTCTTGGTACACAAACAACCGATCTGATTGAATCATGAGTTTGTGTGTGTGTGTGTGTGAGTTTGAGTGTGTGTATATATATATATATGTATTTATATACATATACATGTAGGGATATGTGGTGTGCAACAGGTTTGTGCTTGAACCAAATGTCCATTTGCCATTGAGAGTTCAATCACCTGATTGCCCCAAATCCCAAATAACTCGTAAAAAAGGAAACCTAAAGCTATGTCACTAGCTTTACATATTATCTACCTCCAACACACTCGAAGTCAACATTATATGCAAAAATGTAGAAAATATATGTCCATACAATTGTATGATTGAAACAAGTAAATCTAGCAGTGAGCATCAGCACGAGGAATTGTACGTAGCAAGTAAAGTAGTATCTTAGAATCTTAGATTTATTCGCAAAAATAAGTTAATCATTTCCTGTGTACACAGAGAAGACAAATTATAGGTCTCACCTTTTGCATATCGTGGCAACCAGGTTTGCTGTGAAGTCTCTAAGTTCCCAGTGGTTGTCTGCCAATCGATTTCCTAATCGTTTTGCAACAAGACAGGTAACAACTGATGGCATCAACTGGTGTAGCTGATAAAGAAAGAATAAATTATCAGACAGGCAAGTGGCAACCCTTTATCAAAGTGGCATGACTATGTGCTTCTTTCTGTTGAGAAAATTTTTACGCTCGAGTAAATCCAACTGCAGAGTACCAGCAGAACAACTGGCTACGTAGTTAGGCCACTGGTACATGCAATGCCACTTCAGAGAAGAATGCAAATAATACCTGATGTTTTCACTTACGCACAAGTAATATGACCTTATCAGGTAGAATTCCACATTTTGCAAATTAATTATGAATATCTAGTACAAACACTCATAGTTTTGTTCAGTTTGTTCATAAGATTTTTGTTGTCATTACCCAGCATAAACTTTTAAAGTCATCTGTTAAATTATTACCAAGGACTCCCAGATCAGGATTGGACAATGTGATCAGAACAAGTCCAATGTTTAGCAGCTAATGTCATGCAACTATTATAGACTATTGGACTACAATGTAGGCTATATCCTTGCAGGACATCTTATATGAGGCCAAAGCAGCTAGTCCACCCTTGACAGTCATCACAGTAGGGACAATTTCCAAAACCAATATATCGATAAAGTGTTCAGGCATAGTGCTGTTATCATGTGCATTAACTGAGAACAAATAAATCAGTAACAGACTTACATAAGGTTCTATTTGCATATGTGGATTCTGGAGAAGACTCCACACAACACGCATCAATGCAAATAACAGCTTAAAATCATTCAACCCACGTGAAACCTGACAGTATTGGGAAGATAAAGGTTAATGTAACCAACAAAAGGCTACATAGTTCCGGAACTTATTCATTTTTGAAAATGTAAACTTAAAAGTACCTCGTCTGCAATGAAGCATGTGAAATAAGGGATTAAAGGATGGAGTCCTGAGTCTGTGGCCAAACTCACCAAGGCTTCCTTGAAAAGAACCGAATCAGACCTACTCACTGTAAGCTCAGTGATTTTGTCAAAGTAAAGCTGCACCAAGAAGGTGGTTATTTTGTTATATTTAATACTAAGTAAACAATTATTAGAAATATAAGGTAAATGAAGAAAACCACATACCTGAAGTTCCCTAGATAGCACATGCTTAACAGGTAATCTAATGTCAACAGGAAGTCCATCATCTTTTTGCTCAGGCTTTTTGGTCTCACAAGGAGCAGTAAGAACTGCAAATTTTATTTATTTTTTGGTAAGTAGAAATAACCATAAAATGTTGCACAAAGAATTCAAAGTTTGGGCCCTGCACTAGGGCTGTTAGAGAAGAAAATTAGTTCGTATTTGTCACACTTTTTTTTTTCGTATTTGTCGCACTAGCACCTGAAGTAAAAGAGTGAATCAATATATTTAATTAGGTTGATGTAAAAAATCACTGAACTATTATCCCATCCTAATATTATTTTGAGAAGATTACCATTTAGATTTTCAAAGAAGAATTGGCACAAGCAAAAAATCCCATTCTTAGACTTGGTCCTGAAAAGGTATCACTTATGTGATCCCACCACCAAATACTTCACACTCAAAGTGATTAATGAACAAGTGACTTGTACCATGACCAAGTAAAAGGCATGACCGCATGACATCCTCAATAAATATACAAACTTCAAGAGGTGATGTAATCCAACAGTCTTGATAATTATGAACTATAGTAGGTATCCGTAGGGGAGCAGAAATAGTGAGACACAACAACCACCAGCAAGACCTTCTGGTGTTTCCTTAAAGTTAGAAATGGACCTTCCACTGGAGCATTTTCTGGAATAGCAGGCTGTACACCTTCAATAGCCAGCCAGTGACAGGCAATTGAAGTCTCCAGCGGTGCTTTTGGTAAAGGAGCTTCAATAACCTATTTGTCAAAGAGGAGGAAAAAAAAAAAGAACAACAATAATTAAGTGCTCCAAATGTTTGTAACAGGGAGTCTACAAAATCAGTTTCTTACATCTTTAAAATCCACATCTTTGTCATCAATGTAAAACAGATCCTTGTGTCCAAGAGCTCTTCTGAAACGAAAAGGATCCCCAGAGGCGAAGCCATAAATTGGCTGAGGATATCATACAAAATTACAGATGAAGCAATAAATTGGCAGAGGATATCATACAAAATTACAGATGAAGAAACATTACCAAAGACTACTGAAAATTATCAATGTTGACAAAGAAACCCTTTTGAATCAATTCACTGTTAAACACTTTTCCACATCACATGCATTACGCCGTCAAAAGCTAAATATTTTGTTTTACAGGCTCACAATCTTATTCAGGCCCCTCAAGTGAGATTTGAGGCAGGGAGTTTATCTTTCATCCTTCCATTTTTACCTATGGAGTCTAAACAACCAAGACACAACAAAAAATAAAAAAATAAAAACTTATCAAGGATATTTGGCAGCCATATTCTGAATCCAAACAACTAGGAAACTAATCACTCAGCCTCTATAACTATGAATGTAGTCAAAGTACAAGGATAAAATAAAGAAGATACCCTAGTCTACACATCAATGTGTGTCACTGAAAAAAAAATTGAAATATATTTCATTTCTTCAGCCATATTTTAATTGCTTGTTTAAATTGTTTTCTTGGCAAGATTATCTGCACAACACTCACTTGTGGGATGACAATTCTATCAGTCAAATTTGCAGCTGATTGCTACGTTTCCTCACTGCTGGTTTTAACAAGTCGCAAGGTTCTAAAATTCATTTAATATCCTTCAGATGATTCCAGGTAATTTGATGGGTAATATATAGGAAAGCCAGAATAAACTACTCACAGATTTTTTCTTTACATCAGAATTTTTTAAAACTTTTTCCCTGAAAAAAATTTCTACAATGCAATACAATAATCAGGACCTATGCAAATTTCCTGTTCTAACTAATAGTAGTGCATGTGTACTTCCTGAAGAGTACCCAAGACCAAAAAACTTGTCCAACTGCCACCATGTCAAAATTCTACTATGCTGGTGATTTGGCAAACAAAAAAATTTTGGACATACTTCATGACAAGTGTAGAATAAGGTAACCTTGATTAAGTTTGGGACAGAAGTTCTAAGAACAGAATTAATGTCAATAGACATTACAAAAACATACAAGTGTAAGTCCAATTGGCATTAAAGACCTAGAGTGAATACAACCTGCAAAGTATGCTTGTGTAAAGTCTCTTTGTATTCAACCATACAACATTTAATAGGACCCAAAGGACAAATTAAGATGATAAACAAAGTACCATCATGAATGTATAGATAGAATATAATACCTATAGCGCAACACAGATGTGCTCTTCACACCATAATTGCATTTTTTATTAGAAATTTACCTCAACATTTCTTAAGTTGAGTGCACTATCAACATCGTCTGTTGTTAACGTAGTTCTCTTTGAATGATGCATACACTTTATTGCCTCCTGTAGTTTCACAGCAAGAAGTTCATTAGACCTTAAATTATCACATTAATTTAGGGGGGGAGGATAACATCTTTCCAATTTGCCGTATGTAACAGAAAAGCACCCAAAATCATCCCATTGGCAGGACAAAAAAAGAAATCATCTTCTCAATACTAAAGTGACTATGCAAGAATGGAAAAAGTATAAGAAAGTCACAAAATTTCAAAGTCACCTAATATCAACGCCTTTTTGTTTTCCTCCTAGAATAAAATGTAACAACTCTTGTGAGTTCTTCCAGAAGAACACAAAAACACTTCTTTGATATCAATAAATATAGATTATCGCTAGATGCATACAAAAGCACAGAGAGTGTAAAATGTATCTGAGTTATGGTGCCCATTATCCACTGGATTTGTTAGACAGGAAGACTGGGTATGAACTTCCATAAAAGCATAGGAATGACTGATTATGGTCTCATAATGTGATTGTTTGATGGAAAAACTAGTTATCTGTTTGGAACAAGGTAGTAAATGTGATAATTTATTAAAGATTTGATATTATGATATTAATGGAAGAATTTTGTTAATTTTTCCGGAAAATGATTAAAAATTGGAAGAGATAAAGTGAATAAAGAAGCACAGTTGAGGATGAGTTTCTGGAATGCACGTCCAGACGGTGGAATACTTTGTGCCCGGACGGAGTTGGCAGAATGTGAAGATTGATGTGCTTGAAGAGGTGGAACACACTGCTAGGTGCGTCCGGACAGTTGAAAACACGCGTCCGGATGCGTGTCGCTAGAGTTGCCAACGCCAACAGCAGAGTTGGATATCAATTAGATCTTTTCTAAAATAACAATATATATAGGAGGAGATAGTTGGGTGGAGGGTACCTTTTGCTTTAGTCTTTTTATTTTTGTTCTTCTGGTTTAACTTTGTCATGTCTGGTTAAGAGGTTTGACTAGGACTAGGGGAGAACCTCTCAATGAAGTACGGTATTGTTATTGACTTATTGGTTTAATGGTATGTGAAATTTGTTAATTTAACTTTTGATTCTTAGTAAAGTTTTTGCTCTGTAAAAATTCTTGAGTCATGGTGTCTTATACCTTGATTTCTTGAATATTCCCTGTGAGACAAATAACTAGTTATTCCTTACTTAAGTTAATTATAATTTATTTCTCATAATAATATAACTAGGGGATTGTGCAGTTAAATCAAGAATTTGATTGTTATGAGAGTTTGATTTATTGTAGACTCCGGGCACAATAAATACTTACAACCAGCAAACAATTTTTGATTTTTCTGGATAAATTTTTAGTTATAAACAGAGGTGTTTTCTCATTCTTATTGATAAATTTGGTGACGGGAGTCAGTTGACACTTGATTCTTGTCTAGGTTTGAAAACTAAGTCTTTAATCATTACTGTATAGATTTGAGAGGGTGTACCTAATACTCTAGTATTTTGCACACTGTTTTAATCAATTTATTCAATTATTCAAATTCAAGCGTTCTTCTTGAAAATTATTTTTTTTTACAAGATTATTAACAATTTAGTGTGGTGTCCATTTGTTTTCACAATTCTCTGAGTGTTCAACCTCGCTCTTCCGAGTCTATATTACTTTGCACAACTTGCGCTTGGGTTTACATATTTGAAGTTGTAACAATGACTAAACTTCCTTAAGTTTCAGCTACAAAGTTGCAAACACTCTATGTCAATCATGAATAGCTCAAGCTTGATTGAATGATGAACTCAACAAGGGGCTTTGCTTAGTAGATGAATGGAACTCAAACATGGTTTTCAAGAAAATTTACTTAACAAAACAAATTAAAAAAAAAAAGGCCTAGCCTGCTTTCAATAAACAAGAAGTAAAACAGCAATTTTTTATTTTTTTTGTAGCTATTATAATAATATTAATATATCTTATAATTGTTGCATTGACACACAGGACACAACAAACATTCGAAAAAAAAAATTCTATGGCATTAAAATTGGGCACAAAAATACTTCATAAATTGTCCTTTAACTTCTAAATTATAAATTAGGAGCCAATAAGGATTGACAATGATATGTTAAGAAGTTAAAAGCTGCCATTTACGAAGCCAAGCCCATAAGCTTGCCAACTTGACGAGCTTCTGACAAATTGAGCTCGAACCAAGATTCCTTGGTTTGTCTCAAGCTCGCCCCAAGTTCAAACATCATTTTTCCAGTGCAAGGCTCGTACATACATGCTAGTACTCAGCCCATCTCATTTGCAGCATCTATTTGAGCATATTATCATAAGAATTTTGACTATATGCTATTGATGCAAGTGATTAACAAAGTTGCAGTTCTGGTTGCCTACTTCACCGATGATGGTAGAAAACAATTTAAACCCAACTTCGTCTGTTCACAAGAGGACACCGGTGACCACAGTTGATATATGCAAGAGACAGGTTGAGGCAAATGCATGTGGTCTATATGCCATTTTTTTGGGATTTTTCATTAAATACACACGTTTTGGGATTTCAAAATTGAGAATGACACAACAATAACCTTTGAACAAATCATCGATTTCTGTGCACATCTCAATTATTCTCAGAATCCAAATCTGATCTAGTGGCATGGTACATCCACACCATATCATTTGTGATGGCTTTGGACAACAATATATAAGCATATCAGAGCTGAATTTACTTATTTTCTATGCCATTTTTTCCTTTACATCACCCGCGTTATATACAATACCAGGTTGTATGGGAGTATACCATTACAGAATCAATGCCTGTTGAAAAATGCAATGATGAATATTAGCAATTTTTTCAGATCAAATCCAATGTTTTCTCAATCAACAGCTTAGAGGCACCCGTTTGACAGAGGCACCCGTTTGACACAGGCACAATCTCAAATTTACCTGCATTATCTCACGCATGCGATATTCAACATCAGGAGCAAGAGCGAGTGCGGCATCTGGAGACAAGTTATTAATTCCGATGCTTTGTGCTATGACCTCTACTGTCTCCTTAGGCACGATACTCATTTTCTTCTCTTTCCCACAATTTCATGAACCAAATGCCTTAAATATCTACACAATTCTGAAAAAAAATACAAGAACGTCTACTGAGGAAACCCAGCATGCCATCTCCATAAATTTGGAAATAAAATATGACTGATCAAAGTAAATAAAGAGTGGAATTTTTCGTACATGATAAAGGTAAGCATATCAATAGAGCTGCTTTTCAGTGTTCAAAATACAAACCATGGGCTTTGAAAACAAAGATAATCCAATATCAAAGCTATCTAATCCAACACATTAAATTTCTTGAGTTAGAACCCATATAGCGATTAAATTATTTAAGTAGTTTATTACTAGAAATCTCTTAGGCTCGTTAAATTAGATTCCACATTATGGGTCGGATTACTATTTCTTGTCACAATGGTAACAAGCAGAATAAATTTCATATTCTTTGACATGCACAAGGAAATTGAAATTTACTTCAAACCCTGGTAAACAAGAATGCCCAGTAATTTGACAAGTGTTCACTGTGAAATACAATATTTTTGATTGAAATATTAAGGATAGGAAATCCTCTGACTTCTCTCTAGCTTTCTCTCACTAAAAAGCGACAAGGAGAAGAAAGAAGCCATAGGCTTCATCAATCCATCTATCTCACCGTCGAGGCAGGATCTACTACAAATGGATGACAATCCACGAGAAATGCAGAAAATTTCCAAAGAGGAGGACCACCTTGAAAGAAGCACAAAGAAAGTCAAGGAACACCATGGGAATCTGGAGGATGCTGGAATGCTGATTGACCCAGGTGCCTCACTAGCACATCAGTCTCAAGATCTGGTATTGCAGGGAAAACCCCCTACTGAAGGTAAGAAACCACAGAGGAACTATAAGGAAGCGCTTATGGAAGATGATAACGCCATCTATTTTGACGTTGATAACTATGAAGAGGGTCCAGAGGAGATGGAGGAGGAAACTCAAGACGAGTCACCAGGAGAAAGGAATAGGCATACTATGATTGATACATCGGATGAGTTGTGCCCAAGTATTAACCTCCCCCCCAAAATGCTCCAGAGAATTAGAAACAGATGGAAAAAGGGCCTGCTGGTTAAGCTTCTGGGGAAAAGCATTGGATACAAGGTACTATGTATGAAGGTAAGAAATTTATGGAATCTCCAAGGAGATTTTGACACCATTGATCTTGATAATGGATTCTTTTTGTTCAAATTTCATGTTACAGAAGACTGCCATAGAGTTTTCTCTGGCAGTCCATGGATCATCATGAACCACTATCTTACAGTTAGAAAATGGAAGCCAGATTGCATACCATCAAGAGATACAGAAATTGCTACAGCTATCTAGTTAAGACTACCAAACTGCCTCTTGAATATTACGATGAAGCTATTCTGTTCCAAATTGCTAAAGCCCTAGGGAAACCAATCAAAGTGGACATTAAAACTGCAACAGCGGAGAGAGGAAGATTTGCTAGGATATTCGTTGAAAGGGATTTGAATAAACCACTTATTTCACACTATTGGTTAGGGGGAAGGCTATTCAAGGTGGAATACGAATGCATCCACTCCATTTGCTTTGCCTGCGGAAGAGTCGGCCATAAGGAGTTCCTCTGCTCCTATTCCACCGAAAAGAAGCCACCAACGGCCGCCAATGAGCATCGTCACTCAGCAGCAGTCCCTCACTCCACAGAACCTGCAATACCTGACACCAAAGAACAGTCGTCTGCAGAGCCGAACATTGCACACCAACCCCAGGAAGAGGACAAGAATTTTGGGCCTTGGATGATATCCCAACCCAGAAGAAGAAGATTCCAGCAACGGGGAACAAGTAATTAACTAACCCAAATAAATTTAAGGACCTTGAACTCATGTCTACTAATCCATCCGAGCTCCAAAACCACACTCAAGGCCTATATCGGTACAAATCTCAACCCAAAGGGAAAGAAGAGGAAACCCACCCTAGTAGAGGCCCAAGAATAGGCCATAGAAGACAACGTGACCAAGCAACACAGAAGGAAACAGCCCAAGGGAGGTCCCAGCCAACTGGAATGATCCAGTAAGCCCAATGGAAGGCTCAGCCTTCTGGAATGATCCAGGCAGCTGTCTCCTTAAGCTTAGTGCAAAGATCCAACGATATGCAGAATTCTTCAATAGTTGCAGTGAATCCAAGGGCTCAAACATCTTCAGGAAATCACATGGCATCTGAGAATGGAGCAGGTCCTCAACTCCAAGACTTCCCAGCCCTTTCCTCTCCTTAAGATACAGCTTCTCTGGATGTTCTCAAGAACAATATATCAAAGGATATCCACATGATACCGAAACCCCCTGATCAAGAACCTCTCAAGCGTACTCAGAATGGAGCCAAACCCCCTAAGGTACTTCAATCTGATCAACAATACCATAGATCTTGTATTCAGAGCGAGAGAGGAAAGCAAGTGGCTAACTACTACCAACTGGGAGATCAGGGAGATCCTTTTGAGGATAGAACCTTGCTCTGTCAGAACCTCGATCGACAGACTTACAATAATCTCCATGATGCCGGTAGTCACTCTCATCGACAGGAGGAATCAAGCCAGGATGGTATTGGGTTTTAGCGATGATGCTCTCCTTCCCCCTTTTTAATGAATCATTCTATGAAGATCTTAACATGGAACTGGAGAGGTGCAGGTAATGAAAGGTTCCGAAGGGCTTTTGATGATCTGTTTAGAGCACACAATCCGAATGTGGTGGCACTTATGGAAACCAAGATCCATAGTTCTCAAATGGGGAATTTTTTTGAACATTTTGGTCTCACAAGGTCAGAAAAAGTGGAATCATAAGGAAGAGCTGGAGGTATCTGGCTCCTTTGGGATCCCTCAAATGTCACAGTCCGTATCGAGGAAGCCACCTCTCAAGCCATTAATGCTCATATAGCACGTATTGATTTTAACAAGTCGCAGCTTTCAGTGGTTTATGGAAGTCCAAAATCAATGAACAGGGTTTATGGGATAATCCAAGCAGCACTGGTGATAATTATAATCACTCCTGGTTGGTGGCAGGTGACCTGAATGACTATGCAAACCAATCGGAGAGAAGAGGCAAGCGTTCGGGTCAAGATAATAGAACCAAAAAATTCAACGGTAGAGTAAACAGATTCAGCCTAATCGACATTGGTTGTAGTGGACCAAGACTAACGTGGAATAACAAATGAAAAGGGTTGGCTAATACAAAAATAAGCCTTGATCGTGCATTGGCTAACGTGGAATGGACCCTCCAATTTCCAGAAGCAACAGTCCGAAATCTACCGAGAACATACGCTGACCACTGCCCTCTCCTCATCCTTACTAAAGGTAACCCTACTAACTCTTCCTCCCTTAGACCCTTTAGGCTTGAGACAATGTGGTTATCTAAACCAAATTTTAGAAATGTTGTTGTCAATTCTTAGAACCAAGTCAACCATAAATTTACCATGGCAACTAAATCTTTGAACATAATGCTAAAGAATGGTACAGAAGCAAATTTGGTGACATCTTTCAAAGGAAAAGAAGGGTTTTGGCCAGACTTGAAGGCATTCAAAAAGCACAAGACAATTTCTACTATCATAACCTTGAAAGACTGGAAGTACATCTTTAAAACTGAATACCAGCACATCCTTGAGCAAGAGGAAACCCTCTGGCACCAAAAATCTAGATCGAATTGGATAAAGCTAGGTGATAGGAACACTAGATATTTCCATGTCTCCACAATTGTGAGAAGGAAAAGGAACAGACCCCAATCTTTAAAAAATGACCAAGGAACTTGGGTTACGGGGAAAAATGAGATTCGAGAGGTAATTCAAACTTTTTATAAGAACCTTGTTGCGATTGAGAATTTCAACCATAGTGACCCCAACCAGTATAAACTACAAGCAAAATTGACCAAATTGATAAACAGATCCTTGAATCCCAGGTTATGGACTTTGAAATTAAAAAAGCTGTTTTTAGTATCAAATCTCACAAATCCCCAGGACCTAATGGACTTCAAGTTGTTTTTTACCAAAGATATTGGGAACTTAGTGTGTCAACAAATTAAAGATATCATAAGTAGTAAAAAGTGTCCAGGGGATATTAATAAAACTTGAATTTCTCTTATTCCTAAGATTGATAATCCCTCATTACCTTCGCAGTGTAGACCCATAAGCTTGTGCAATGTTAACTATAAAATTGGGTCTAAATTGCTGGTCTCAAGACTTACACATTTTCTCGATAAACTTATCTCTCATTTCCAAAGCAGTTTTATCCCTGGGCGTCAGACCATTGATAATGTTATTGTCACTCAGGAAATTATTCACTCATTAAGGAGAAGAAAAGGTAAAAATGGAGGGATGGTTATTAAAATCGATCTTGAAAAAACTTATGATAGAGTAAGTTGGTCTTTCCTTCACCAAACGTTGATTGATTTTAATTTTTCCCCATCTTGGATTGACTTGATTATGAGCTGTGTGACAAGGTCTTCCCTTTCGATCTTGTGGAATGGATCCCCTTTGGATCCTATAATCCCTAGAAGAGGACTTAGACAGGGCGACCCACTGTCACCTTATTTATTTACTCGGTGTATGGAGAAATTAGAGCAGATCATTCAAAATAAAATTGATAAGCATTTATGGAGAGACATCAAAACCTCTAGAAAAGGTCCTGTCATTACTCATCTTCTCTTTGTTGTGACATCATCCTCTTCTCTAGGGCTACGAATAAAGATTTTGACATGGTTAAAGCTATCTTGGAAGAGTTTTGTTCTATCACAAGTCAAAAAATAAGCATGTCAAAGTCTAAGTCTATTTCTCTCCTAATATTAATAAGAGTCAAGCATTGCATTTAGAGAGAAAAAGTGGCATCACATGCGCTGAAGACCAAGGAAAGTATCCAGGTATCCCTATCATTCATAAGAGACTTAGTAAGGATCACTATAACTCATTGATTGGTAATATTCAAAAGAAATTGAGTGGGTGGGGTGGAAAATTAAGAACCTATCATTGGCAGGGAGAAACACTCTTGTGCAAGTTGTTACCTCAACCATCCCTACCTATACTATGCAAACATCTTGGCTACCTCAGTCCATTTGTGGTAGAATCGATAGGTATCATAGGTTAAACACGAACTTCCTCTGGGGGGATACTGATGAGAGAAAAGAAGTTCACTTGATTAATTAGGACAGTGTCTACTTCCCTAAAAAGTTTGGGGGACTAGGTTTAAGGAAATGTAGGGAGAACAACCTTGTTGTCCTTTCTAAACTGGGCTGGAAATTGCATTCTGAGTGTAAGTCCCTATGGGTTGAAGTGGTCAAAAATAAGTATATGAACCCATCCTTGAAAGATTAGTCACTTAAATCTAATGTTACTCTAATATAGAGAGCCTTAAACCAGTCATTACGTGAAGCAGAAATGACTTATTGGTAATGGTTCAAAAGTCTCGTTGTGAAATGATTGGTGGATAGGTGATAGCTCACTACATAGCAGGATGCAGATTCTGTCATCAGCCGACCCAAATAGTAACAATGGTAGAGATCATTTGCCCCACAAACATAGTTATCAAATCGTATATCGGAAGACGTATCGTAAGATACAAATATTGTATCGTATCGTGTATCGTAAGATACAGTGTAATTTTAAATAAATAATAATAAAATATATATACCTTCGAAAAAAAGTCACACTCATAAAAACATAGCATTTCATTAATACTCCACCAACTATAGCATTTCATCAATTTCAACCTTGATCCTTCTACTTTGTCACAATGTTCTCATGTGAGATCATTAGCAAGTTTTTTAGTCATTTCTATATGAAATAATGAAAATAGGATGCTGGTGATGCCACTGTTTCACAAAATTAAAATTAATGAAGATTCAGAATTTTTATAAATTAATCAAGATTCAGAATGTTTATACAAAAAAAATATATATTTTACTTTGTAAATAAATTAACAGAATTACTTATAATGCACAGGTTTAGCTGGACTAGCTGGAGAAGGAAGAAGAAGAAGGCAGCTGCAGCTTCGATCCAAGGCAGCTTCATCGATGAAGAACAAGGAGAAGAGAGAGAATACGGAGAACAAAGGGAAGAAAGAGAGGGACTGGACTGGGGTTCTTCGTCCTCAACAACAGAGAAGAGAAGAGAGAGAGGGAAGATTCTCGTCTTCGTCGATGAACACCAGAATGAAGAACAGAAGAACAGAAAAGGGCTAGACTGGGCTTGCTGCCTTCGTCGATGAAGAATAGGGAGAAGAGAGAAGACGGAGAAGAGGATTTGGGAAGATTCCTACCTTCGTCGATGGCTCTTGTGCCTTCGTCGGGGCTAGACTGGGCTTGCTGGTCTTGTGTCTTCGTCGTCGCTCGTGAAGAACACCCAGACCAGAAGGAAGACACTGAAGATGGAATGAGAGGAAAAAGAGGGATTTATTTTTTTTCTAAACCCTAGCCTCAAAACGACGTCGTTTTGAGTGGCAGGGATAAAAAATCAATCTCTTTAGTCAAAACAACTTCGTAAAAAAAACAAAAAAAATCAAGTTTTACCGGTATCGTTCGTATTGTACCGATACGTATTGTATAGTAAAAACGTATCGTGTATCGGACGATACAACACAAAAACGATACATAACTACGCTCCGTATCGTTTTAGGCCTATATCATGATATATCATACAATACGTATCGCGTATCGTACGATACTAACAACTATGCCCACAAGTAACTGAAATATTCAAAAAGCAGGTATGTACCTTCCCTCCCTCTAACATCATCTCTGACATCTTATACTCTCCACTGCCTCTGGAAGGCTCCCATAAAGACTCTCCATCCTGGGGCCTTACAAGAAATGAAAAATTCTCTATTAAATCTGCTTATAGTTGGATCTTTGAACCTAATCTAAGTCAGCATCATGGTTTAAACTAGAATTGGCTTTGGAAGCTTGGGATACCACAAAAACTTAAGCACTTTTTGTGGCTGGTCCAAAGCGACAGACTCCTCTCTAACTCCTTGAGGTCCACAAGAAACCTCACGATTTATCCTTCTTGTGAAAGATGTAGGGCTCACAACAAAAGCACAATTCATATCCTAAGAGATTGCCCAAAAGCTGGTCTGGTCTAGGATTCATTGCTTCACAGGAAGGATCTCCACCTAGATTAATCTTTGGACCTCCATAATTGGCTCATTAAAAACTATAAAGTTAGAAAGAATATTTGTTGGAAAGGAGTGAAATGGCCCATTCTTTTTGCTTCTCTTATATGAAACATCTGAAAATATAGGAATCAAGATTGTTTGGGTAACACAAAAACCCCCCACATATCATTGCTAAGAAAGTTTGGACACTGGCACGGGATTCATCCGATGCATTCAATGAATCCCATATCAACATTAATCCTAATCCCCCCCAAACTCATTGATTGGTCTTTCCCTCCTACGGGATGGACGAAGTTGAATGTGGATGGTAGCTCAAAAGGGAACCGTGGCTCTACTGCAATAGGCGGACTGCTTAGAAACGATCAAGGAAGATGGCTGACAGGTTTCTATGGAAAGCTTGAGGACTCCACGAGCCTTCAAGCCAAACTGTGGGCTATCTATCAAGGCCTCAAGATCATCCAATCAAAGAACCTCAAGAAGGTGATCATAGAGACCGACTCCTTGGATGCCCTCAACCTAATTACTGCTAGGTTGGAGGATCTCCACCCGAAAGGAATATCAATGCCAACTACAAGCATATAATAGGGTTGATTAATACAGAAAATTTTTGTGCTGATAAGTTGGCAAGCCTGGGAGGGCTTCAACTGGATTATTTTGTGTTTTGGGATGTCCCACCGCCTGTGTTGGGAAAGCTTCTTTTGAATGACCTTGCATGTATCTCTTTTGCTAGGGGTTTAGATAACCCGTTGGTTTTTTCCTATGTACCCCAAAAACAAAATGTTCGCTGTGAATTGAGCAAAACAAACCCCTCAAATCAATAATCATTTCCGTACTCTCCATGCGTAACGCATATACATCTAACATCGCTTTTAAAGATAATGTAAAGATTCGAGCTAGTTTGTTTCTATTTTCCCAGAATTTCTAGGCAATTGACCAAGGTCTAAGAGTTTTCTTACGAAAGTTGTCTTTCAAGCATTTGCTCGAACAAGTAGTAGCCATTTCATATGTACCCACATTCAACAACAAAGGCTTACTTCTTAACAGATGAGAGAGAGGGTATTACCTGTGCTGCTTCTCTTCGTCGGGGAGAGGCGAGTTCGTAGTTTGAATGAGCGTTTTGTCAATTGTCACCCAACTCGTAGCAGATCCTGTGACGAGAGAATCGCTAGGATACGGATTACGGACACCATGACGGCACTCTTCAAGAAATTATATGGGAGAATTATACTTTATGCCCAATAAGATTTTAAGATTCTCATTTTATACTTTTAAATATTAAATTTATCATATTATATCTTAAATGAATCAAAAATATTATAATGCAACATTTCTATTAACTTTTTGTTAGTTTTTCGTGGGTATCAATGAATTGACTTTTGACAAAAAAAAATAACAAAAGCTAATAGAGGGGTAACATTACAATATTTTTGATATATTAAATGTATAATATAAAAAAATTTAATCTTTAAAAATATAAAATAAAAATATGAAAATCTTTTAGATATAAAGTATAAAAAAAACTAACTTATATTGATGGGGTTTGGATTAGGCAAATATTATTTTTTTGATATACAAATAATCCTTAAACTATAAATTTTGTGTCAATTAGGGGTTATCACCCTAAATAAGAATTATGATATTTTATTTTCTTACCTGATATTTTATAGAATATTTTTTTTATCTACTCTACTCGATCTAATGTACTATTCTTACCTAAATTCTATCCAAAACAATTAAGTAGAAAGCCGGATATAAAATTGAGTGAACACATGTTTTTTAGTTATTAATTTTTTGATCATTTTAAAATTTTAATTAAGTAACCTGCATCAATTAACTAACATAATAAACCTATAAAATTAAATATAATATAATAAATTCAATAATACATAAATAATTACAATAAAACACAATACGAAAGTCATAAATATCAATACATCATATATAAGAAAGTCATAAACATTAATAAAAATATTAGACTTTCTAAATTTTTGGATTTTAATTTTTAGGGATTAATATATATATACAAAAAATTTTATAGGTATTTTGCATTCTTATCCGATTTTTTTTAGAATACCAATAGATTTTCAGTTGACCTACTCAATTCTTTCGAGTAGCCGATCAGTAAGATCGCATAGGGTAGGGTAAGATCAAAATTTACAGATAATCATAAATTTGAACACATCTAGCGTCAATTAAGCATCTAAACTAATTTTCATATCAATTAAATATATAAATTTTAGTAATTAAGCTCCTGAACAAAATTTCATGTCAATTGCGAATCCAAACTCGAAATTTTTAACAATTAAGCCCTCCTATCAATAGTTGTCAGATTTTTTAACATAATGTGCGGCATATTCACTACATTGAAAACAAATTACAGGTATATTAGACTTTTCGTTCGAAATCTATAAGGCAAAAAATATCATTCCTTATACCTATCGACTAAAATCCTAAACCTAAAACCTCTTTCATACCCATAAAAAAAATAGATCAACAAGCTCTTTGAATAGCTAACATTTATGCAATCTATTTTCTGCACCACCAAATAAAAGAATTTGTTGATCTGCTTCATTTGATGAGTACCAAAGAGGTTTAAATTTAGGATTTCAGTTGATAGGTATAAAAAATGGAGTTCTTTGTTTAATAAGTTTCGAATGAACAGTCTAAAATACTTCTAATTTATTGTTCATATAGTGAACACATGAGAAATTACATCAAAAAACTTAATGGTTATAGACATAAAGGCTTAATTGTTAAAATTTTAGAGTTTTGGGATTTCAATTGACACGAAAATTAGTTAAGGGACTTAATTGCTAAAATTTTAAAGTATAAATGGTCAATTGACACAAAAATTAGTTTAGAGACTTAATTAGTACAAGAGTCATAGTTTTAGGGTTACTTGTATAATTTATTTTATTTTTTCATACAATAGTTAAAATATATTAATTATGGCAAAAAAATAGTCGAATAAATAATTTAAAATATAAATAGACAAATTATAAAATAAATAGTATGATGTAAACGATATGAGTTGTGATGCCAACCTTCTATTTTATTATATAAATTGTTTGTCATTTTCTTTAAGAGTTCTATTCTATTCATTTTTTTATACTTATAATTCAGTCATACTTCACTTTAATAATTTACAATAATCAAGCATTGCATATAAAAAAATAATATAGAATTATGACACTAATCAAAACTTAGATTAAAAAATAGGTTTAGATCATTCTTAATATATAAAATATTTTATACTAATTTGGTGTAAAATCTAAAGTTCAATCGAGTTTTAAAGTTTTATTTTATCGAATTTCATTATAAACAAAACCATCAATAATATATATATATATATATATTATATATATGATTCCGACGAGACTCACTTGTGATGAGATTTAAATTAGAACATCACTTAAAAAAAAATAAAAAACATAAATTGTTGAAATTTATAACACAAATAAATGATCGACGAAGTTAAAAACGAAATCAAGATTTTATTATGGAGGGCAAACTCTATTAACAAATTGGCAATGTACAAAAGTTAATCAAACAAAAATAATGAATATTTAATATAAATAAAAATATCCAAGAAAATAAACTAAAGTAATAGTTTTTTAATACATATCTAAGTCTCGAAATGTCTATTAAAGTGAAATTCAATGTTGTTTTCTACTGTGAAATTCATCTATGGTTGAATTTATTCTAATTTTTTCAGCAACTGCTTTTTCTATATACACAATTAAAGAATCGGAGTTGTCTAATTGCAAATAATTAGTTTCTTTTAATCTCATATTAAGCAATAACCAAAACCCGCCGGTCAAGACATGAACTCAGCTGAGTGCACCCAGACCGAGTTGCCTCAGAAATATCACAGCTTGGATTAGACAAACAGACCACAATACCGGACACCAAAACCTTGCTAAAACCTCTCTCTCTCTCTCTGTTAGACATACAAAAATACATAGGGGTAGCCTTTAAGTGTTCTTCTTTGGTCTCAAAATGCAAGTGTCATTGAGCATCACACCTTCTAACTTCCCTTCTCTCTCCCCATTCCACCAAACCACCACACACCCACCTTCCAAACTCCTCTCAACCCATCAAAAACCAACACACAACCACTCACTCCACACCCATTTTAGCCCTCTACATGCCGCAAAAGGATCTGGGTTTTTATCTGCAATTGGTCGAGCAATTGAAGAAGAAGAGTACAGAAAAGCCCGGGCTGAGGTTAATCGCAAAGCGGTCGATTTAGAAGGGTATTCAATTGAGGGGCTTTCGATTGGTGGGCATGAAACCTGTATCATTGTTCCTGAATTGAAGTGCGCGTTTGATATTGGGAGGTGTCCCTCAAGGGCTGTTCATCAAAACTTTTTGTTTATTACTCATGCTCATCTTGATCACATTGTAAGGTTTCGTTACTTAATTTACTAGAATTCATGTTATGTATTTATAGTTCATAGGCTGTTTGGATTTGTTAATAAGGCCAAGTTCCTGCTTTTACTTGATAGTGAGCTTGTTAGCATAATTTACCAGATTTTCATAGTTTCAGTTGAAGTTTGGACGTCACTTTCATTTTGTTCTTGGTGAGTCTGTGGTTCCTAATTATTATTTTGAAGTTTGAATTGACAGTCATTTTGTACTCGGTTGGTCTGTTGTTCCTTCTTGTTATTCATGCTTGCCTGGATGGATGGGGATCATATCACATTTTTCAGTGGACAACCCTGTATCTGTATTCACAGTGGTAATGAAAGGCTTTTGATATTGATGATTTGTTCTCATAAAAATGGGAATTTGTGCATTTATAAGTTGCTCAAATTTAAAAACTGACAATGCAGCAAAAGTTGCAAGAAGATCAAAATTTTTTCTTCTGAGGCACAAGGATGGGGAGGGGATTTGAACCTGGGTTGTCCAAATCCTCACAGTTGGCATGTTGCCACTAAAAATGGCTCTAGATGAATATATCTATTGGTATATCAGGTTGGGTTTGTTTCTACTTCCCACACAGTCATTATAGAAATCTCGAATGCACATTTTCTGAAAATGAAATATATACTGGATGCAAGACCGTCCTCTTTTGTCAACTGGACGCTATAAGTAAAAAGAGTTTAATTTCTTAAAGACACTATAGTGGACTGGAATTGTACACAATGTGATGTTTTGGTCATAAAATGCACCGAAAAGTTGCTTGTTTTTCAGCTGGAAGATCAGGCCTTATGGGTGTACCTGGATTTGCATGA